TAAAGACATAACCTGACAGGAGCTTTGAAAATGGTGAAGTTATTACTAACACCATCTGTATGAATATCAAATTCTTACCCTGGAGTTATTCTTGGACTTCTTGGTGAAACTGATGGAGACGTAGGAAACACCATCATCAGGATCAGCCTGCACAGTGAATACAACACAATGTCTGCTCAGTAATATGTGGATTTATAATGAGTCTGTTTCACATCTGTTTAAGTTCAGCATCAGGTCCTCATCACATCATAGTTTCTGCTCTTCTCTGTTGAAACTAACTTTGTACTGGGAGTAGTGTGTGATCTCACCGTGTCCTGACTGGATCCTGGACCAGACTGAGTATCTGCAGGGTTTAAGCTCAGTCCCTGAAAAAATACAGTTTTATTTTTAAAATCGGCTCAGTGTAAACAACAAATTTAATCTAAAGAATATTTAATCAATGAATTCAATGTATTTCCCAGTCCTTGTTTCTTCCTTTGAACCTTTATGTCACTGAACTTAATCCATAAAAATCATTTCACTACCTGGGCCCACGCCCTCATTTTAGGTTTGACAGCGTTTTAGTGGTTTGGGGAAGGCCTCGAAGGGGACTGGCAGTGGCTGCCAGGCCTGGCAGATCCCAATGTACAAAACAGAAGTAAAGAAGTTAAAGAATTGAAAAGGGGAGGGACGGTGGGGCACGTAAATGAGAACGAGCAGCCTGTAGAACTGGGGGAACCCATATATATACATGAGAACCAGAAGGAGCTTTTTGGGAGGCGTGGTCCCACTCCTGAAATTCCAATAGGCTCAGTCTGGTATGAAACTATAGAGCTAATAGATGAATTTGAACTCACCGTGTTGTTGCCACATTGTGTTTTGTTTTCTGAAAAGAGAAAAAAAGATGAGTTTACTTATGAGTCAATTTATCATAAACTTTAATCTGTGAATGTTTTCACCTTTAATTTTCTTCCATCTGATGATCACCACAACAATGATTAACAGTGTCACTAAACCCACAGGAATGATGATAAACGCTGAGGGAACTGGAGAGATTATTAAAAGATGATAAACATTAACATGAATTTCTCCACACATAGTCAAGTCTCAGTCTGACATCCAGACTTCGAAAAAAGAGGGATTCAGTTTCTACCTCCAGATGGAATATTTGATGCTGTTGTCAGTGTCCCTTCTGATTTCTTTAATTCCTCTCTTGTTGTCCATGTGTTTATTTTCACGGTTGGTTTAATTGTTGATGTTGTGGATTTTGTTGTCGATGATGTTTTTGTGGTGAACTTCACTGTTGTTGATTTTGTTGTTGCCGACTCTTCACCTAAAGAAAAACAATAGCAACATTAAAGACACTGACAGTAAGAAAAGACTTGAAAGTAAGTGAACAACAACAGAGAGGAAACAGTGGTGAGATGTTTAACAGTCTAACAAGTCTCATTTTTGATGATGTCTCATGTCTGAGGATATGTTCTCTTTATCTTCATACAGACACTCAACTGTGAGTCTACAGTGTTCATATGTCAACACAGAGCTGTTCAAGATGCTTTATCATTGTTCTCATGTACACACACTGGTGAAGATGGAGATATTGTAAGAGAAAAGCAACAATAGAAAAATGAACTTCATCACTGTGATCATAATTATTGTGGTGTTTCAGTTTGTTGTTCTAACAGGACAGTTTGAGCTGAAAACATTAAGATGTAAATACTCACTGTTAATAACAGACAGATCAATGTTAAAGTCTGGACCTTCTTGTGATCCTGTTGTTGTTTTGAACTGTCTGCAGGTGTAACGACCAACATCCTGATCTGTGACCTTCTTTATAACCAGAGAACAGTTTGCAGAAAGACTCAGTCTGTCTGATTCAGGTTTGGCTTCTTTAATCTGCCCAAAGTCAAAGAGTTCTACTGATGCCGTTTTACTTGAATCACTGAAGATCCAGGTAGTACTGATACAGTTATGCTGACCTTGTATCACATTTTTACAAGGCAGAGTAACATCATGTCCACGTCCAGCTGTGACAGTTTGATTTTGTCAGTTGTTCCTGTTGAGAAAAAGAGAGAGAGAGAAATGTGAAACATCAAATATGTTATGAATATGAGTGTTATGTTTATAACGTGAAGTTTATTTTAAATACAACACAAGTTTCAACTTTAGTTTCCAAGAGTCAGCTAAAGTCAAAAAGTTAATCATGACTGTCTCAGCTAAAGGAAGAATAAATAACACTTGTGATAATAATGCAGTTTATTAATTGAATGTGTTTCTATGCACACTTACCTTTAAACTGAAGCATCAGAATCAGTAATGAAGACATTTGAATCCATGTGAATGCAGCCATCGTGCTTCTCTGTCTCTCTCAGTCTCTGTTCTTGCTCTCAGAGATGAACACAGCATCAACTTCCTGCTCACTTCCTCATAGTGACATCACTCCTTTACTCTCCTCTTACTGAATCTGTATGATACAGATCTGAACTCATCTGTATCTGTCCCTCTGTCTTAATGTAGATATCAAATTTGCTAAATCCTTTTTAACATTTAATAACTTTTGTACTTAATCTCTTTTGCAAACTCCCCTGTTTTTCCTTTAAAGGACTGTTCAACAGTGGAAAATGTCTTGATCATTAAAAGAACACAGGAAGTTAAATGTGTGAAGACTGTTAGATGAGGTAAGTGTTTACATTAATGCATCTCTTCTGTACATTGTGTTTCTTATTAGAAAATAGGTTTATGAAGATGTTTGTCTGCACACATGAAATAGGGTGAAGACTCAAATTATTTACACACTAGAATCTGAGTCTTAATGATTGCAATGAAACATGCTAACACTGCCACAGTGAGCGCTGTTAGCAGCTTGATAAGAACACAGATCAGATGTGTTAGTGGTCTGAGACCTGTTTGTTCCTCTTTGAACCTCTGAAGTCATTCATTCTGAGAAGTGAAGGGGAAGTGTTTGGTGAGAATGTGGGTACAACAGCAGCAGAGCTCTGGAGGTTTCATGATGACCAGATGAACCTCTGACAGATAAATGGTTAACACATCGATGAACGTGACACTAAACTGTCTTTAGGATTCACAGCAGTTTCTACACACAGCAGGTCCTTATTATTTTTTAATGCTGTGTAAGTATAGTTCAGAAGAATAATATTAACAATGAAAGCAGATGTTTACACATGTTTGGAAATGTTATAATACAAGTTCAGTACAAACAGAGCTGTTCAAACCAGCAGAGTAAAAGTTTAATACTGAATATGAAAGAAGAGGAAGTCAAACTGGAGACAATAACAGACGGTAGATTGTACTGTGGTCTGTGGTGGAGGGATCAGGTGTGTGTGAGGTGTGAGATGGAGAGAGTTTAAAAACACACAAAGTTGTCCACAAACATATTTACATTTATTCTTATTATCGTGCAGCAAAAAAAAGCAAAAAGTTAGAAACTGAAGTTATAATTTGGATCATTAGATCTGTTCCTGTTAAAACTAACCTCAGGAATAAAAATAAAGTATGAAGACTAACAATCAAATAAATAACACAAAATTTAAACAGCAATAAATAAGCTGTCATTTTTAACTCAGTGGGTAACCTTTAATAAAAATCATCAACAGCAAATTTAAACAAACAAAAGATTCCGTTTATCATAATTAAATAAAGGATAAATAATTGTTGTATTGTATTTTATCTAAATGTAGATGAAAAAGTTTTTAGCTAAATATGAGATAAAATCAAAATGTAATTTTTGTTTCCTTTATTTAATAAACCTTTCTTGTCCGACAGCATTCACAATCAGAAACATGATCTGAATGCTCTGTTGTACCAACACATTTGCTTTGCCAGAAGGAGCTATAGGAATTTTGTGTAAGTTTCTTATCTTAGTCTTTCTTTTTATTCTACTTGATTTATTCATTTTCATTGTTATTCACATTAACTTATGTGTAATTGATCAATACCAGAGCTGACAGGTAGGGAGAGGTAAGAATGGGTAGAGAGGAGAAAGGGAAAAAAGAAAAACAGAGAAAAATTGAGAGAAGACAAAATCAAAAGGACACAGCACACATAGTTCAACTCAACAGATCACCACCTGCTGCACCTGTAAGAAAAACATACAAAAAACAAACAGCACCTCAGAAAAATGCACAATCTTGCATGTGTGTGTGTATGTGAAAGAGAAACACACAGTTTAGTTGGGCCCTCCACCCCAAGACTACTGCAGACCCAAGCCCACACGTCCAGATGACAACCGTGTGCTGACACAAGTAGAAGGAGAAACGAATGACAAGGGAGGCCCAGAAAGAGCTCCCATGGTGAACGTTTAAGAGCCAGAACCATCCAAGCATGAGCTCAGGACTGTTCTCATGGGCAATGACCAGAAGGGAGTGGAAGGGAGGAGCAACCCTCACCTTCTATAACCATGTCCCACAGTGGTCAAGGCTCAGCAAGTCTCAGACAAAGACCCAGTCACACACACAGACACACAGTGTTTTCAACAGCAATGGGCTAATTTATATGATGAGATGATGTTTGAGTTGTTGATCAGTGGAGTCTGACAGAAGCAGAAGAGTCTCCAATATTTTCATAGTTCACTCCATCTTCACCCTCATCATTATGCTCCTGTGGAAAACAACACAACACACTTTAGATTCTCTCTGATATTGTCACGTGTGATGAGGCAGACGGCCTGAAGAGGAGAGAATGTGGACCCAAATGCAGACACAGAGATGCAGGAGAATGTTTAACAAAAAGCGAGCCTTTATTGTGGGCTGCAAAAAACACCAAAACAAAAGGCGATCAGAGACTGTGAAAAACTAACTAAAACCTGAACTGGGAAAAACTAGAAATAAATATAAAGAATCTAAACCTGAGAATAAAGCCTGAATATGAAACATGAAAATCTGAGACGAGGGCCAATGAAAACAGAAATAGCAGAAGGAGAAACACACACGACCCAGCAACAAACAAGGAACACAAAGGTAACGAAGGAATGAGACACAGGAGGAAAACACAGCTGGAGAAACCACACGCAACGAGACCCGGAAGAAGGAAAACGGAAAAAACTAAGACGGCACACAAGACTGTCAAAGTCAAACAAGAAGACACAGACTTTACACTGAAACAAGGAGACATGACTGACAGGGGAGACAAAGGACACATGGATCACAGGAAGAGCGCAGAAACCAAGAGACTAAAAATTCTAAATAATAATGAAAACAAAGACTATTAATGATTCAAAACACAAAACACTGGGTCCCCCCCACAGGACCGAGACAGATATTCATACTTTGTGATATTATTTTGCTCATTCGTCTGATGTTTTCACTCTTGATTTTTTTTAGATTCCTCATGATTACAGTTAAGTTTCAGTTGAACATGGTCAGCACAGTATATTCTTATCTTTCATTATTTTCTATCTTTGTATATCAACCGTGCCAAACAGGAACAGACACCACAAAGAGATTTTGCTCTATAAAGTTAGAGAGGACTACTGAGTGTTAAACTCACAGTGGTTTTCTCCAACTGTGTTTTGCTTACTGAAAAGACAAAATAATAAAATCAAGAGTACAGTAAACAGTTAAACTCAAAGCTTTTTATGTGTAAAAGTTTCATCTGTGAATGTTCTCACCGTTACATTTTATCCACATGTTGACTGTAACAGCAGATATTAAGAGAGCTGCTAAACCCACAGACACAATGATGCATCTCAGCAAATACAGAAAATCTGAAAATAATAAAAACATTTTTACTTTAACTTTTTGTTAAGTTCAAAAATAAAAAGATTTTCAAATGTGATAAAAGCAGTCAGTTTTCTAACAGTGGTGATGATTGAATGTGTTTTTGGACTGAGGACTTTTTAGCTGTAGTATTTATTCTAAATTCTAATTAAAGTATACTAAATAAAAACCAAGAACAAAAAGTACAAAAATCAGCTAACACTCACTAATCTTTCTTATTATCAATACAAGTTTCAAATAATTTAGAATGTTTTTGTTAAAGATTTGTAATACTGGAACCCTGTAAACACCTCAAACCATTAAAGATTTTAAGTTGTTAAATGAAACTGAACCAAAGAAACTCTCCATCAAAACCACAGAGTCAATCTGGAGACTTTAGGCTTGAGTAAATGATTCAGTCTCTACCTGCTGATGGAGTATTTGACGCTATTGTCACCGTTCCTTCTGATGTCTTTACTTCTTCTTTCATTGTCCACATGTTTGGTATTTTTAATGTGGGTTTAATTGGGGATTTGGGGGATTTTGTTGATTTTGTCGTTTTCACATCTTCACCTAAATAACAATAGCAACATTAAAGACACTGACAGTAAGAAAAGACTTGAAAGTAAGTGAACAACAACAGAGAGGAAACAGTGGTGAGATGTTTAACAGTCTAACAAGTCTCATTTTTGATGATGTCTCATGTCTGAGGATATGTTCTCTTTATCTTCATACAGACACTCAACTGTGAGTCTACAGTGTTCATATGGCAACACAGAGCTGTTCAAGATGCTTTATCATTGTTCTCTGTTC